CATAGGCTGCTAGCAGGAACTCCTGACGTCCTCTTACTCTGAATCACACAAAGTTTGCAAAACTAGCATTTTGCAAGCACACGGCATTATTATATTAATAACCAAGTATCAAGACTTTGTTTGTAAAAGCTTCAAAGCCTAAAAACTAAAAATATAAAATAAACCACGGTGATTACAGAATCAGTGAATAAACAGTTTCTGTGAATAGCCAGAAATGGTCCCTGAACCATACACTCCAATGCAGCTCCATGCACCAAGCTATGGAAAGAAGCACTTAAACGTTACTCATTTTCCTGGTGCTCTTAAAAAGAAAAACTGTAACACACATCTGTGACCTAGCAACAATATGGTTTGAAATACTTTCCAGATCACTGAACTGTGCAATACCTTTAAAAATGGGATGACAAAAGGTCGCAGTGGGAAGTTAGTAGCTTCTTGCAGTTTGGAATGAAATTCTTCAATTGTCAAAGTAGAATTCTGTTGAGAAAAAAAATTCTGTCTTGGTGACAAAATAATGAAAACACTTAGCAAGAGAAATAGTAACCAAAGCACTCTGAAATTGCTTAATAACTCGTTCTTGATATCGATAAGAGGATAAAGAAAAGCATGCTGCATATTAAATCATTACCTTATAAAATACTCAAACAAAATCACCAACATCTCAGACATTCAGTGCCTGTTGCTTAGAGTACAGTTTACACAGTCAGGTGCTAACCAGAGAAAAGTTTTCACATTTCAAACATCAGTTAAAGCTGCTTTTCTCAGCTTTTTTTTTTTTTTTTTTTTAATTTTCTATTGGAGCTTCTTGTAATTTTGTTTCCAGTGCAGTGGCAATTAACATGCACACACAACAAAATAACATTTTTAAATGCACGTTCCTCATTGTTTGAGGAGGTAAGCTGCACTTTGCTTCTTGTACTTATAAAGAGGATTGTTACTATGTTCTAGGATATGTAAGAAAGTCACTACTTTGCAACTGAGGGCAAAATCATTAAGACCAGATGACCAGATGCTGCACAGGGTTCACCAAGGGAATAACATGATATCTGGACATTCCCAAGGAAAAAACCCTAATTTGCTCTTCAGAGCTCAGATGGAGGTTGAAATCAACTGTAATTAACAGTGGGCAAGCACTTCTGATCTGAAAATCAAGGGCAGGTAGATGTTCCCAAAGCTGTCTTTGGTTTCTTTACTTTCCACAGAACCATAGAATCATTAAGGTCGGAAAAGACCTCAAGGATCATCAAGTCCAACTGTCAACGCAGAGAACTGTATGACAAGCAAAATCACATTAAACAGGCATTTTGGATATGGTAGCAAATGGAGAGTAGGACTTACTGAAGTTACAGTGCCTACATTGAACTTCCTTTAGACACAGGCTCAAGTGATGGGGCACCCACTGCTGCCAGGTAGGGCTTTGTGAAGATAAATGTGGAGGCCACCTGAGCCCTAATACGAAACAGTGCTGGCAGTCTTTGCTCCAAATGAAGTCAAAGGCAACTGCAGCTGCTCAGAACAGATGTAAATTAGAGCACCACAACAGCATTTTTCCTGGTACATCTAATTATTGCTGAAGGAGATACATGGGAGACAACAATGTCTGGTGAAGAGAGGACTTTACTGGGAATAAAAAGAATCCTGGTCCAGATTCACAGCAGTTTGCCTGTAAAACAGCAGCCCAACTTGACAGATGTAGGTAGGAAAAGGTGAAGTTTTCATTCATCTATATAATCACACAAAGATTACTTTATAAATAAGGTGACTTAAGCAGCAGCAATGCACCGTCAGGTCCCTCATTGTTGGGTTCAATGAAGACTGACAAAAGGTTTTCCACGGTGTAACTGCAGTCCAAACACATCTTCAGCTCATCCTTTTAACCAGTATTCTGCTCCTATATATGTAGGGCACTATCCTTTCCCCAGACAACTAAATTAGGCAAGCCAAACCATGTTTTTACTACATTCTGTAATCCAAGGTATGTCTACATCAGGGGTGCTGCCATTATAGAACAAAAACCCTTTCACACCATTACAGCATAACACTATACTGGCACAAAGACTCAAGTCTATATCTGGTTGGGAATAGCTGCCACTCATGGGAAGCTAGTCAAGTTACTCATATGAGCTCCGGCAGCAAGAGGAACCACTTCATTCTTGCATGTTTGGTATCCTTAAAGTACGATACATGCAGTGTATGTGACCCACTCTTTTATATAATAAACATGTCAAGCATAAAAGAGGGAAAACGAGAGAAAAAGATCACAGTTGTTATATCATTGGGTTTTTGCTTACCACAAGTCCTAGCACAAGGGTACGCACTCTCTCCCCAATCTCTGGTGAAATGTCATTGCCAAACTGCTGTAAGGTTGTAAGAAATCTCTTCAGTTTGCTGAGTTGCCTAGCTCCACAAGCTGGTGGTAACTGCTGGTTAGCCAGAGAAGAGGAAGAGGAAGAGGATGGCCCATTGCTAAAGCCATTAGGAGGAGATGGAGCTCCATTTAACGCTGTTGGTGAATGGCTAGTGCCATTGGTTACTGAAAGAGAGAAGGGAGGATAAAACAGAGAGAGGGGGGAAGAGAGAGAGAGAAAGAAGACAGAGGGGAAAATCCATCAGCTTATGTTTTCTGTGCTTGACCTCAAAATTAGTTAAGTTGCATAATCAAAGATAATTAGCCTTCTGACAGAGCAACACTCTGCAGTTTATACTTATTTCCCAGTAGCTGGTACTGAACAGTACATGGATTGGAAGTAACAGCAGCTGCCTCTCACACAGCCCCCTTCAAAATGCTCCTGGACCTGAAAAGCATCATTTGAATACCAGCCTTTTGTCAGAGGATTTTAAAAAGAGAGAGAGAAACGTAGAGAGAAAGAGCATGAGTGCATGTATGATGGGAGACAAAAAAAATTGCTCTTTGGGGTAGAAAAAAATGTGTGGACATATTTCATGAAGCCTCAGTTTATCTCTGAATATTTTTACTTGTGTTTTGTACACACAACTGACAGCTGTGTTTATAAAACAGGACTTTCACGTTTTAACCTTACACCACCCAACGAGAAGGTTATTTTTTTGATACAGATTTCCTAGCTGCTAACATATGGAGCACACAAAGCTGTTTGTCCAGGTACAAATGGTGGCCTGAAGCCTTGCAGCTAGGGCAGGAAACTAGACTTCAGAAGACTACTTAGAGACCACGAGCAAATCACTCAGCTTTCATGTGCCAATATCAAATCTCTAAAAAGGACAGGAAAGAATTTCCCTCCTGTTGTAAGGTTGCTGTGAGAATAACCATCTAAAGTACTAAATGTTCAAAATTTTATGGCAACGAGATTCCTGCAGACACACTGATGACTTGTCAGCAATTTCAGTTTGATTCTTATCCACACTCCAGAAGAGAGCAGAGAATCAAACTGAGGACATCCTTTTCCACCCAGGTTACTTGGAACTGCAACAGTCAAACACACTCTGTTGAGGTTGTTTGAGTCTAATTTGCCAAAACGACAGCGAATGGCAAGAAAAAGGCCAGTTCCCTAGAAATACCAACATCCCAGTGCGCTGGCAGGTGTGGGCACCACAGCAGCAGCCATGCTCAACTGGCCACTGCCCTGAAAAAATTTGCTGATTTCTTTTTGGGATGTCACTCAGAACTCATCCCAAAAACCAACAAAAATCATGAATTTGTCTACAATCAAAAATGTATAGGGGTAGTAATTTGAATTGCTTCCTATTTAAAAGTATAACCATGGTGAGATAGCAACTCAGAGAACTCCCAGTGTTTCTTAATGCCCGGCCTCTCTAAAAGCAAACAGCCCTTTCTCCTAGTCACTTTCTCCATCAGCCATCTTTACTTTTAGACAGCAAGTCCTTTTTGAGGGTGGGCACATATTACTAGATTTAAATCACTACCACAACACTTTTGAAGGAGCTTCTGCCCTAGTGACTGAAGTGCCCATTTAGAGGTATTATAGAAAAAGCTATCTGAATGGTTATCCAGTTTCTGCTTGGTGTTTTACCCTAGTTTTCGGTTGCCTATTCCAGCTGCATATGCTGGGAAGAACAAGAAATGGAAAAGCAGAAACAAAGAAGCTGGTCCTCAGCAAGTTCAGCTCCACGTGCAGCTCCAAGCCATGCTCTCTGAGCACTGCAGCACAGTGAAATGTCTGAGTAAACAAATACATCGTGATTGCAGAGACCTTGCATAGCCAAAAGTCATCATATCACTAACTTAGTAAACAAGGACTGAGAAGAATACAAACACGTCCTGCTCTAGCCTGACCCTAACCAACAACTAAGGTGCTGCTCTAAACAGAGGGTTCTGGGGCTTTGATCAAGAAAGCATAGAACAGTTCATTACTTAGGATAGATATGAGGAAGAGAAAGGCAGGTAAAATTTCTCCCACAACAAAAGAAATACAGAAATACTCCTCAAATGCAGCTTCCCTAAAACACTTTTAATAATAGCCCCACGCCAGACTAATGATTTTATCCCTTTCTTTATAATGTCTGAATTTTCCAACTGGCAAAGACCTACATCAGTTCTAAAGTAAAACTATGTTATTAATAAAACAGGATTTATCATTTAAAATTTCAAATTTATATATGTCAAGAATTTTTAATCATCTAAACTAAAGAAAACAAGCATACCCTTGACAAGAAAACAAGTAGGATCTTCCTGGCCTACAGGCATTCTCTCTGTAACAATAATAAAAGTAACAAGACACTCCAACAGAAGTGACTGTTCACTGTACAAGCTGGAACCGCCAAGGCCAAACTGCAAAAATCTGACATGGTAAAAAGCAATTAAAATTAGATGTTTTTAGACTTTTAGTCTTCATATAAATAGCCCCAAAAATCCACCTACAGTTCACACAACTTCCAAAGTGCTGAACCCTATAGAATAGACAAACACCCAGAAATCTTGTGAGTACACTGAGGATTATAAGTGATTAAAGAACATTGTCCTATTCCTTTTAGGATTGTCAAAGATTACCCTGAATGGTGCAAAGTGCATCAGACTGGAAACCTTAATCTGTGAGAGCCCCATCCTGTAAAACCCTAGAAACAACTTAACTTTCGACCAGAGCAGCTCCTAGGATGATTCAGGTGCTGGAATTAAGGAAAACAGACAAATCCTTCTTGGGGATTTTTGTTTGTTTATGTTTTTAAAAGTGGGGGTAGTTCATAAAATACTTACCTTCATCCCCCTTATGACTGTATGAAGAATTCTGATTTAAGTGCTACATATTGTCTAGTTAATATTGATACAAAACAAAAAATAAAGGCCTTTTATTGTTTTATCTAGAGATTTCCATTCTGTGGCCACTTCTCTACGGCACTCGGGGCTGCATCTCTGTCTCAGTTTATTGATGTAAACACAAAAGAAACTCTACTAGTCTTGGTGGAATTACTCTGCATTTGTATCAGTGTAACTGAGATTTGATTCTGGCATGTTGTCTGGACTACTCTTTTCACAGCCACGAAATGATCCACATTTTTCTTACCAAGATTTAGCTGCAAATTTTTTGGTCTCTTTTATACTGCCTTGTAATAGTATAAACATGAGAATGTGTTTACATTTCACATTTTAAATAAAACATTTTTAGAACGGTAGAATACATATGCCTAAACAGAATGAAGGCAGCATCTTCTATTTGTCTTGCCTATGTCTGTTCAGTCCCTTTCTGTCTGTTAAATGCCTTATTTAAAATTCACCTCTATGTAGAAGGCCAGCTGGAGGCCTTTGTTCTACTTATTCCAGGGAACCCTGCCCTGACAATTTACATCCAACTTAAACAGCGAGGAGGATTTGTGCCAGCTATTCGCATAAACTCAAATTTAACCCAGTGACCCTGATCCTGGAAAGATTTGTCTGTTTTGCTTAACTCCAGCACCTGAATCATCCTAGGAGCTGCTCTGGTCTAAAGTTAAATTGTTTCTAGGTTTTTGCAGGATGGGGATCTTACAGATTAAGGTTTCCAGTGCGATACACTTTGCACACTCAGGGCAATCTTTGCAATCCTAAAAGGAATAGGATACAAAAGGGAATGGGATCCTTTAAACAACAGAATGGCGTAAAAGAGAAGAAGGTTTTCTGTACTTCTCACAGAAGAACTGGTCTGAGCATTAAGTACATGGGAAACCAATGCTCATTGTTCTTTGACACTGCGGCCAATTTGTCAATGAAGTAGCAACACTCCTCTGAGCTGAATGTCTTAATACCTTAAATATGCATTAATCTGTTCTGATCTTAGTTTTACTTCATTACTCTACTGCAGTACAACCAAATGTTGCTCCTGCCATGTCATGCAGGTTTCTCTTCAGATAATTTGGTTTCTTACATACAAAATAGAAAGAATATGGAATAAAAGGAAGAAAATAAGTCAAATTACACGTTGTGGGCGTGAATGAACTGGTTCTTGGAGCTCCTTGGGTAGTGGGAGGAGGTGGCATGGTTGGAGGCGTCAGCCTGGATTGTGTCTTCACATCCACAGGTGAGTCTGGCATTGTGGAATGCTTCTCAGTGCGATCTGCAATACACACCACAGGAACACACCGGTTTATTTCCCCAAGCACACCCCCCTCTGACAAAAAACTTAAAAGCTAATACAAGTAAGTAAGCCATTTCAGCATCTGCTGCAAAAGATTACACCTGATTATCTACTCCAGCGTGCTCTCCCAAAATTGCATCACCTAAACCTTACTTAAGAAGGTGTAACACAGATGGTAAGACCTAATTTGTAGAGGTGCTGCATTATCTTTTGTTTTTATTTCTAGCATGTGCAGATGCTACCTCCCAAGCACTCCTGGAGCTGCAATATTGCCACCTCCCTTCAAGGCTCTCATGTTAGCCAGAAGGAAAAAGAACAGATGAAAAGACAGCAAGGTAATAAATCCCCTTACGACAGCTCTTCTGGAATTAAACCTGAAGCTCTTTAGTACAGGTGAGATACTGGGTGGGATATTGGTTGAAGCCAACTCTCTTTATGTCTCTTCTTCATAACACCTGCTGCCCTTTCCATCACTTCTCTTTCTAATCATGGAGAGATACTTATGTTAAATACCACTCACCTCCTTGATCACTTTATCACCCTGCCCCTGAACATTCATACATTCACCAGAAAAATAAACACAACGTGCAAAAATGATAAGCCAGTCGTCACACATATATGCCATTGTTTTTAAAAAATCATCTAAGTTTGCACCTTCACACATTAAGAACAACTTTAATGTTCAAAACCTGCAAGATAAGTAGAAACATACCTCCCCAAGAAAACAAACCAAACAAAAGGCAAAAACAAGCAGAAAATCTAACAGTTCTCTTGCAACTGAAGATCTAAAGATGCAAGATATCTGATACAGAAGCTATAGAACTATCTTTTTCCAACATCTTTTTGGACACCTCTATCTTAAAATGTTAAAAGCCCACCCAAATCCTTATGTTTCATTTATCAAAAATAGGCAAAACATGACATTTATCAACTGAAAGCAAAACTACAGCTTCCTTACTCATGCCAGGAGTTCAGTGAGCCATCTTGAGTAAAGATGAGTAAGATCAAGTTTAGCTTTTAGTGGGCCTAAGTTAAATTCTTCCATCCTTTCTCTAGGGAGACAGGGTTATTTATTTTATACATTGTCCCACACAAGCCTTCCTGAGCTCCATTAAACTATTCTGTAAAGCAAGTAAGTGTCGCTGATAATGGGTAAGCATGGAAATCTGTTGTTTTAATTCAAGACAATAGCAAAGTCTGTCACATTCTATTAATTCCATCACTCCACTTCGCAATGTGCTTTCCTTGTGCTTACTAACAACATACAAACTTCAGCAAAAAAAATCATATCTACAATTTTCCCCGAGAGACACTAAGAGAAATTAAATGCAATGCATACATTTAACAAAGGAAGGATATGTTTGAAAGAGCCTCAAAACAATTAGCAGAACACTTATCAGTAAGTAAAAAAAAAAAAAAAACAAACCCAAAAAACCCAAAAAAAGCCAAATAAAAAACCACACCATACACACCAAAAAATCCCACAAAAATTAACAACGCAGAATAGGTACCAATCTTTAGCTGTCTGAAACTGAGTAAACTGAGGAAGGATTGTCCCAGAGATGCACTATGTCAGGTACAGCAATTTTAGAAGTCATCTTCACCCTTTGTCGAAGTGCCTACAGATGATCCGTTAGTTCTTAGGGAAAGGGAGGCATTTCATACAGAATTTAGAGACAAGTTTGGGGAAGATGAGCAGCGAAACACCCCCAGAACAGGATGAGGAAAATGCAGATAGAGTATTATAGGATCTGTAGTGTTGATCTTAGGTTAGTAAACCTCAGCTGTGTAGGCAACAGTATCCAAAATGACTAGCTTAAGCATTAAGGCTGCTACACAGACAGGTGAGGTTTGATTTGCAAATCAAGCAACAGTAAATAATTACATGCTGGAAAACAAAAGCAAGTTTTTAAATATATTCTATGCAAATTTCCTTTCCATATCACCATAGTAAAAGTTAAATCTATATTTTCAACAAGCCATTCATTTAATATAAAGAACTATGAAAACTCAACTTGAAATGTTAATTGCTTCCTTAATAGCCGAATTCATCTTGCACTCACCTCAACCAACCTCAGCAACAAGGGAATAAATAGCTTTCAGCTCATGTTGCAACAGAGGGAACAGTGAGCCCAAGCCCTCCTAAATAAAGGCAAATATTTCTGCCATGCCAAGAAAGGAGAGAGAAAGGGAGGCTTGCCAGAGCTGGTGGGGAGATAACAGTGGGAACTGCTGGTCCATCTGGTTTTCATTCTGCTAACACTCACATTGAACTGTTAAGGAAGGCAGTCCAGGTACACAGATTTGAAGCATGTGGGAGCGCAGACACAGGCACAGAGGAGATGGAAGTGGGTGGAAGAAAGAGTGAGAGAAATCGAACTCCTCTAACAGTCTGCTGCTCACAGCGAGCAGGCACAGCCTGTATCTTCCAATTCAGCTGTTGATAACTCAAAGCAATCCCGAGCCTGTAACCAACCCCACGGCTCCTGCTCCCCTCCTCTGCTGCGTTTCGAAGTTCAGGATTGATCAGAAACGCACTCAGATTGGAGGGGGGAGGCTTTCCCAAAAAGCTGGCAATGTTTTGTTACTTAAATTGAACACGGTAGTGGGAAATAGTGTGTTGGTTTTGCCCTCCAAATTCAGATTGCCATTCTACCACGATCCAACTGGTTTCTACTCCCTCTGAACAGCGTCTGCCACCTGGTTTGCAGATCACTGAAATTATCCAGAGATCCCTGTATTTCTCATATAATGACATTAGGCTTGATTTCCTAATTACCCTTCTTTGGACCTCTTAGAGGTTAAAAAAAAAAAAAAAAAAAAAAGCCACCTCTACAGGCCACTTACCTTTTCTTAACCTTTCCCTCCCCCTTGCAAAGCCCTAAACTAAACCCCGCTCCGCTACTGTATGAGCGCAGGCAGACAGATTTATCTGTGTAAATTCCCTAGCACTGCCTTCTGTAAGGAGATGTAAGGCTCCTTTCAAGCACACCTCCAAACACTTCTAACCAGGGTACAAGATTATCTTGTGAAAGAAGAGACTTGTCTTGTGGGGGGAAAAAAGAAGGGCTTTTGAAAAAATACAATGCAAAATACAAAGCTCTTCCACAGGCTTGGAAGACACCACCACCACCAACACACCGCCCAGGAGAACAGCCTGCTCCATCACAGCCTTTTCATCCCACCTTTCCACCCTCTTTAATAGCAAAACACCTGCAGGAGCCATTCTGCTCTCACTGCTACTATCTGCCTGCTCCTTGCCTCTACAGCTGGTTCTGAAGGAGCTCCGGGGCTGGGAGCACCCACCTCCAGCAGCTCTGCACCCACCTCTGTCCCAGCACCCACAACCCCAGAGAACCTCAGCAGCTCTGTTTTTAAGAGGAAGATCACTCAGGGGATGGAGAACAAAGCAGAGCCACTGCCGATAAAAGCATTATTTAGCCTAGAACTCCAGCTCCTACAAATAATTATTTTTTTAAAATTTAAAACTAAATAAATACACAACACTTTTTACGCTAATGGTTGAAAAACAGTTTGATGAAAGCTGGCAAAACTTGTACTTAAATTGTATTCACAAGCCAAGTTTCCCATAAACCACTTTATTCCATGAAGGCTTTTATGTATAGACGTTTTTCTTGCAAACTCTCTCTGGATATTCTGCTATCTGCACATTCAGAAGTGATGAGGGCTTGGGAGGGAAAGAAAGAATTCCTCAAGAGGAAAAACTGTATTTTTCACATGTGAAATCCTGCCTGTGTAAGATTTCATGTACATTCGCTCTGGTTTTATAATACAGGAGCATATACATTGAACTTTGCCCAAAATTTGGAAGAACTTTAAGGAACACTAGGTCTTAAAATTACTTAATTTCTTGAATTCAAAACATATTCATTTTTTCACTTCAAATCAAACTCCCCATTTGCAAAGCTAGTTCTGTTTTGTTTGGGTTTGTTGTTTTTTTTTTTTTCTTCCTGTTGGACTCAGACATTTCAAATTAGCAGAGACACACCAGAAAGTTTCATACAGGCAGTATCCTACAGCATCACACATTTCAGAGCACAGGCCACGTATAGAGAGTTACTTCTTTCAAGTGCAAAGATTTCCTTCCACCAAATCCCTGTTATGAGTGACAGACTCGCGCTCCTTAGCCCAGTTCAGATCAAATGGGGCTGAAACCAGAGGTCCTCCAAACTGGAGCGAAAAGGAGACATCTGCAATTCATTCCGCAGTGTTTGCTGCAATCAATTCAGGATGGAGATAGACGGTGAAATAATGGTCTAGTCCTAATCCATACACACAACCCTCTGGTGCTGTGAGAGACTTAGAATAAATTCAGAAAATACGTTTCAAGTATGCAGAGATCTACTGCATTTGCTTTGGATTATATTTTTATTTAAAAAAAAACACCAACATTTTTAAATATCCATTCTTGAATCTCTTTTACAGTATAGAGTGAAGAACTGTGATTTTACCACAGAAGTATTTTGCCCCGTTTTAAATAAAAGAATGTTGTAAAACCAACTTTAAATTATGATATTTCTTCGGTGAATTTCTTGGTTCATGAAACCGTACTGTTCTTGTCATTCATTCAGTTTTTATGGTAGGAGTTATTTTTATCACTATATTTAGCTGTTAGGTGAACACTGATATTTACCATAAGCACAGACAGCTTCTGAATACAAATAGGGAAGAGACAAAGTAAAACGTGCAAGAGCAGCGGCAAAAAGAGATGTGCATGTATCCAATCTGATTTACTTTACTTCCTGTATCTTAAATTATTTAGTCCATTTTTAAAACAAGGCGGTCTTTCATATATGGCAACATTTCAGCTCACATGGCACCCTTCCAAGTCTAACGCATCAAGGAAAGCTGATGTATGGAACAAAATATGGAATATATAAATACTTTACTGATACCATTTCAATAGCCAATTCAATGTCAAGCGTTTCTAGGAGTGGTGTGTTTTCAATTTCCTTTTT